CCCATCTTAGGGCTATATAATTACTCTGTGCATATATTGCTTGGATATTAATTAAGGCAGAAGGTTTCTCTCCTAATTACTTGACATGCTAGGTTGACAGCTGTCCTGTGGATGATGGACAATGATACACACCAACCTCTGTGGTTCCTAGGGTAGAGTGTTTGCTATAGATGTCAGATTTGTAAATTTAACATTGTTTAGTCTGAGGATAAGTGAGGAAAATGGGAAAGTCATTTGCTCAGCAGTGGGAGGGTGTGGAGAGATGTTTTCTACTGAGGATTTTTATTTTTATTACTAAACTCATGAGAGCCTAGAGATGTCACAAGGTCCTTTTTCTGTTCTGGGCTGTGAAACCAGGAGAGGAAAGTATGAACTGATTCAGTTTTATATAACTTACAAATGTGTTTAGCATTTTCTGTGACAGTGAAGGCAGTCAGAAAATTTAACTGTTTCCTTTGTGAATTTTATTTTGTTTGTCTGGAAGTTTGCTCTGTTCCAGCAGAACTGGCAGTAGTCTTGTCCAGAGGAGGGGCGGGACATTTTCCCACATAAGCAAAATAAATTTTAATTACAATAAAAAAGAGAAGAAAAAAGAAAAATTAAAGTTATACTGTTAAGTGGCATTATTACCTCTCTAACAGGAAGCATATGGAATAGTAGCATGCACATAGGTCTGAGAGCCAGGAATAAATCAGTGCTAGTCTAGACATGCTGATTCCAGCTGTGGTCCTGAAACAAGCTGTTAGGGTTGGAATTTGATTAAGTCTAATACCCATCTGGAGGGGATGATGAATGAAGGCAGAATAACACTGTCCCATCAGAGTTCTGCTAGAGGTACTTATATTATGGCTGGCATACAGGCAGGAGAACAAGGGTTACCCATTGTAATCTCCTCTTTCTAACAGTGACTGGGTCCACAGCCAATATCAGAAATCAGGGTGGTACATCCTATGGAACTGTGACTTATCATGTAGTTGTGCTCTCCAGTATAGAAAAATGAGCAAAGGAAATGTCTTTACTCTGTCCTGTTTTCCACTTCTTAGTATGGCCCTCACTCACCATTTCACTTGTGCTTTTCCCCAAATGTGGCTATAACATTTAATTATCTAATATTTATAAGCACCCAGAAGATGGAAAGCCTACATGTTATCTATTTAGGGCAATTGCCTCACAAAACCACATAAATAAATGTTGACCAACGTCGTAATTTCAGTGAGCAAAACACTAGCAGAATCTTACAAACCCTTACAAAATTACCTCCTCTTTCCTCCTGCCTCCACTCACTTCCCAAAACAATGAATTTCTCTCAAGCAATCTGGTATGAATAACATTTGCATCTCCTTTACTATTATCTTATTTTCACACAGCAAAAGGATCCTAGTTTGAGTCTGTTTGCTTTAGCGTTATTACTGCCATCCACAGACAAATCTCTTCCCTCCACTACACAGACTTTATTCACCAAAGAAAAACGTCCTAAAGCCCTCGCAGACCTTATGAAAGGCGTTTTCACTCACTTGGGTTAAATGAGCACTGTGTATTTTCTTTCTTCTTCTTTTGGGGGGGAGGGGAGTAAAAAGTAATAAATGAATCATTTCAGCTTTGGGCGAGAAGTTAGGTGTTGTATTTGTACCATGCAACTACATAAACATGGAATGAGGCAGTTAACCAATGAATTGCAGGAATGAGAAGCAATGAGATGATCTAAAACATTTTAACACATTTTCCATATATTAGCCCTTGGACTAGTTGTGTTTTGCTTTCTTACAACAGACACAAGTCAGTAGAAGTCCAAAAGGAAAGTCTGAGGTTTTACATTTCTGTTTGTGGTACAGGAAAAGGGTTACGATCTCAGTGGTTGATTCAGTGAAATAACATCTCTTTTATACACATCTGCCTAGCAAGTAGGGCGGTAGTTGGAAATACCCAATCTAAAGCATTAAAGATTTGCTGGCAAATAGCAAGGCATTTTCTGGAGAGGAAAAGTTGTTGTACTGAGTAGTCACTTTGAATGCTTAGGAGTTTCAGTTAAATACCCAAACACTGTGGAGTTACAGTGCATTTATTATTTTGTCAAGCATTTAACACACTGGGAACTAACTCTGCTACATATTTCATATCCAAGAAGGCATGATAATAGTGGACTTAAACAAGAAGATACTTGGCAATGGTAAGTGATATTTTTGTAGCAAATTATTTAAGCATCGTACAGTCAGCTCTTTTGACATGTCAGTATGTATCATTTTCAACTGTTTTAATTTGATAATTTAAAAGAGAAGAGTAAATAGATCAGAGGTAAAACCAGAGATGTTTCACAAACTATGTTTTTGACTATTTGCTGTCACTGCTGTTTTGTTTTTAAATTACCTGAGAAATTTGAAGGAAATTATTGTTGTTCATTAATCAGCATTATGACTTAAAAGAGAGATACTCTACATGGAAGTACCTTAATTTAGGACACCGTTAGTTTGCTGTATAATATTTCTCCTATTTCTCCTGGCACATATAAAAGCCAGCAGAGTGGACCAGAGACTTTTGTGAGTTGGTAGTTTTCTTCAGTTTTGAAGGCCTCTAAACCTGCAATATTATGAGAGGCAGAAAAGAAATAAAATCACAAAACAAATTATTCATTACTCAATAACATTTTAAATATCAAAATATCTCTCAGTGGCAGTTAATCTTCATAAATAAGAGAAATGAATTAATTTCAAAACCAGATGAAATGGAGAGGATATGGGATATTTTAATTTTTTTTAGCTTTTGTTAAGTCCATTTTTTTTCCAGAATTGTTTCTAATCATTTCAACTCTGCTGTGTAACTTCAGGCTATATTCTTTAAAGATTTTATTTTTCTTTAAAGCAACAGTGCAGAAAAATGTATTTCTCAATGAGAACTGAATAGGGGTAGTATCTGATCCTCTGAAAACACATACACATTTCCAAACCATTTTAAAATTAAACATTAATATGATTATCTACTACAGTTTCAGAGCATAGTTCCAAGCAAGACATCCAAATGCATTATTTACTTGAATCTCTGTACGAACTACCCTATACAGGAAATCAGTAAATTGCTTCAGTCTCAGCCTCAAAGTGGATACGTATTTGTTTAGTCATATACTATAAATAACATCTGTAGACTCGAAACCTTGCCAGCATTATTAAAGCAGTGTTCACTTAATAGTACCCTGTATTATGAGCCTCATTAGTAACTGATTCATACAGTATGAGCCTACAGAAAAAACATGCAGGATAGAATAACACACACATATTGATGATATATTATCCATACTGCCAGCGTAATCTCATTTGTTGTGGAGCTGGTATGCTCTGAGCTGAGCACACACCCCCTGTGAGCAGCCCCCTGGGGGACACAGTCAGTGCAGAGGCTCCTGGAACAGCCCTTGCTGCTTCTCTGCAGGGGGATTGCTGGCAAGGTGGAGGTGGGGACAAAACGCTCCCCTGTTCCCCAATACACCAGCTTGTGACTGTGAATCGATGACAGAGAGCTATGGGGCTGCCAAATTGCTTCAATTTATGCTGAAGGACTGACCCAAAAGACGATGGCCTTTTCACCACTTTTACAGCTCTTTGCTATTGGAGAGCACCAGTGATGGGATCTGCTGCTTTTATTTGCCTAGTGCTTTTATCACATCATATTTATGCTGTATATATTACACTATGACACATACTGTCCACTGTAAAATACCTTGCATGCTTTATAATATGAAATAAACTTTGTATGCAATAGATTCTGCATAATACCAGATGGGTTGGTATAGGATATTGTTGCTTGATACCAGCAAATTCTTATTGTTTTCTGCAAGTGGCTGTTAATAATTTTGTTCATTGTCCCATTTAAAAAAAAAAAAATAATCATTTGAGTATCTTATAGTACTTTTCTTCAGAGAAATCCCTACATCTCACACCCAAGAAAGAATGTGGCAGCCATAACCCATTTTCATTGATGAGGACAAGGATTCAGAAGTGAGGGAAGACAGCAGGTCACTATCAGAGCTGGCAGGAGATCTCCAGACTCAATACAGTGTTCTGTCAATAAATGAGCTAGGGCAGATTGTTACTGCATTATAGAGAGTGACGTGTATCAGATGTGACTGGTAAGGTTCAGTTATAAGTAGTTTAGACCTTTGTCCAAGATTAATGCAGAGCCTAAACTGATATTGTCAAAATCTTAACATTTTTCCTCTACTCATTTTATGCATTTAGGGTCCTTTGCTTTAACCAGAAATAGGAAAAAATAACTTTAGAACTCCTGTTCTTGTATGCAACCCCCAAAGGTCTGGGTATTCTTACCTCTTGAATATTTGAATCAAGTCTTTTAAGCTTCCTTCCAAGAATTAAAAGAGAGAATTTATAATTAGTTTAAAAGGTGTTGAAGAAAGAAATAACCAGAATGGAAATCTTGGGTTATGTTTGTGGTTATGTGGTTGTCTTCAAACATGATTTTGGACAATTACTTGAGACTTAACTTCAAGAAGAGGCTGTTTCTTTTCAGAAATCCAAACTGAGACAAAGGATATAGTATTAATTCTTCTGGAGAGATGATTAGATATCCACTGGATCAAAAATGAACATACATAAGGAAAGGACACTAGAAAATTTGACCTCCCTGAGCATACCTCTGCTCCAGTGTCAGGGTCATTCAGTGGCTGTCCTCAGGATCAAGCCTACTGTTGTACCCAGCACTCTGTGAGTCTCAACATGCTATTTTACACGTTTGCAGACATACCTTTTTGTGCAGATCCAGACAGACTTTCCCAATACATTCACAAGACAGCCGTGTGTCTGGACTAAGACAATCTGTCACAGAATCCAGTCATATAGGTGCTCTTGTCTCCTCCATCAGCTGCGAAAAAAATATAGCACCTGTGATCTGAGTTACAGTGATTTCTTAAGGATTAAGGTATCTCTTCCACTTCCTAATGCTATGGAGCTTAATTACTTAATTAAGTAATTATTTACTTAGTTACTACTATCTGGTAGCCCTGGACTGTAAACACTGTGGATCTAACTGTTATTTTTCCATTGTTTAAACTAAGGTCGTCACAAAACCCCTAAAGCAATCAAATGTTAGGTCATGCAATAAAGTTTCATGACACCTCCCACCCCATAGTCCCCCTTACTGATCTTCACCAAAAAATGCTGGGGAAGTGATCATGGGCCATAACAGTAATAGTTCAGCTCTTTTGGACAAATACAGAAATAAAAGCAAATGAGTATCAGGACATAGCATTGTTTAAAAGAAACAGTAACTAACAAGCGTAACAATCTATCTGAGGGTATAGCAGGTTTTCAAGGTTGGTGGAATAACAGCATGATGGAATGATGGAATAATTCAGATTTGGTGGTTATTTTAAAATACATGTTTTAGCTGGATCAGAAGTTATTTCCTTCAGCACAGGAATTACAGTTTAATTTTTTCTCTTTGACAGGTCAATTAGACTAGCTAATTAGAACAACTTCTTCTGGGCTTGAAACCTGTGATTCTGAAGGAAAAACAAAAGCCAAGATCAGGAATCTCAGCTGAGATCTCTCAGTCACTAGCTCCAAGCTATTTAACATTAGATGCTGCTCTGAAGGTGTAGGCTGATTTCAAAGCATAGAACAGTCAACTCCCAAAGACACTAGATGCCAGACTGTCTAGGTGGCTACAGCTGACTCCACCACCATCACATCTATGAGCAGGGTGTCATCAGATCTCATGAAGCACCAGAAGCATTCTGTTTTGTGTCTCACCAGGGAGAAATTTATGTGACAGATTATACTGTTTCACTCATGAGAAATCTGTAAAATAATCTAGTCTCATCTTGCTGTCAACAATAATGCTAGTGAGTAACATACATGGTCTGCATTATGACTAAAGTTAGTGTTAAAAGCTACAGTACTGCAGAAGTCAAGAGCAAGAGAGCTGCCATCGAAGCTTTATGCTGTTATCTTCAACACCACACATAAAAAACATCTGGTCAGCTTCACTCTAATTGTCACAGCTTAGAGATGAAGTAAAGCAGCAGAAATGTGAAGGGTCCTCAAGACTTCTTTAGTGCTGAGTTAAGCAGCAGCCTGTATTAAGTAGCTTTGCCTCTACCAGGCACCAGGAATGACAAATGCTCAGAAGTAGCTACTGCAAAAGCCTTGCAGTTGAAATGATAACTGTACATATAAGTATGGTAAAGTCATCTTATTCAGCCATAGATATCCAAGAAAAGAGCTTGTATAATTCCTCATCAATCATCGACAATGCTGATTAAAAAACCCCACACCCAAACCATAAGAAAACAAACCAAAAAACCCCAAACAAACAAAACCCAGAAATCAACCCCAAACAAAACCCCCCAAAAATCAAACCCCAAAACTCTACACTTTCCCTCCAAAAAACCCCAAAACACCCAAACAAACAAACCCAGCAACCAAGATGGGACCCAGCATGCTACCTGTGAAATACTAAAGGATAACAAGCCCCTGACTTGAGTGAAACTGAGATCAGACTGCTGTAGAAAGTGATGCCTGTACCAGAGCGTAAAATATGGAGCAAATTCTGCCACTGGTACCCAAATGGACTAAATATATTCACCTTTTCAGTACTTCCATTCACTCATATCTGGCTGTTCAAGGAGAAAAAGAGAAGGCAGTAGCCGCGAATGTGACAGACTCCAACATGGACTCACAATAAAACGTAAAAACCAGAAAGGTCTAAATACACCTTTTATACTGAACTCATGAAAAATACAGAGAAAATTTTCATATGATTATTGTATGTAGACTAAGTTAATTTTTCTTTTGCCCTTTAATATTTTCCTGATAAATCACAGTTTTGGCAATTGATAATTCTCCTTTCATTCAACCTAAAGGGCCCCTTCTGTCAGCCTACAGTTCAGGGGAACATAAATCAAAAGGAATGCAAAGTCAGATGAAAAAGGAACATTATGTGACTGAAAATGTGGAAAGAAGAGGTAAAGTCATAACTTTAAAAAATATTTGTCTTAAATTAGAATGACACCATACAGGGGAGCTCACATCATATTTTCACTACTCTGGTGCTGCAGTAAGTTATAAACTATGTATTGGTCAATGGCTTTAAAAAAATTGACGGACCTTTTCTTCAATACCAGCTATTTAGCAACTTCCTAGCTGACACAAATACTCTGTAGCATTTCTCTAAGCCCCACACAATCTCTTACACACAGTCAATATACCCAGGACAGAAATATACAAACAACCCATAACACCTTGTTAAAAGGGTACCGTTCTTGCTATGCCTCATATACCACACTCTGGCTGCAGTCAATGCTCTTTACACTGATAGTGCTGTAATTTTTCAATCACACACAATACTTGTGTAGATCACATGGGCTACTTTTTCTGTAAAGAAAGCATTGCATGTATACAGTAACACATTCTTCGTAGAGTTCCAAGATATGTTCTCAAGATGAGGTAAAAATGTTTTTCGATGGGTGTACACTTAGTACTAGACCCTGTCCCATGGAACTACGTAAGCAATATATTACAACTTATCTCTAAGACACTGCAACAAGTAAGGATACCAGAATAATGTTAGTGATACAGAGTGTAAGTGCATGTCATGCAACACAAATATATTTGGGAAGATGAGGTCTAGGAACTTTTGTTAACTCTCAGGAAGGCAATTTACTGGAAGATAGTCTAGAAGGCTGCAAAGCTGGACCATTATGAAAGAGTCAGGTAATAAAGTTCACAAAAGGAAGTGGATTTTTGAAAAAAGATCTGAAGAAAAAGGAGGAGATCCAAACATATGAAAGCAGCATGAAGCTGAGAGAAAGGAGGGGCAGAAGACGAAAAGATAAAAGTATATAGAAGATAGAGGATGACATCCGTACAGAGATCAATGAGAAAAGGTTTCTACAGACTTGAAGATAGGATATTTTCTTAGTACAAAAACTGAACAAATCTTAAAGGCAGTGAATTTAAAACAATTACAAGGAAGCACATTTTTATGTAACACATGAAACTCATTGCCTCTGGATGCTCCTGAAATCAAAAGCTTAATGGGAGCCAGAAATGGATAAATTACAGTTACATTTCACAGGATTCATTTAATCTGTAGAAGAAAAAAAATTCTTTGTGCTTCCTGGCAAAAGTTAGGCACTAAGTGACGAAAGGAATTAGGAAGTGATTTACCTAATTTGACATAATGCAATACTTATCCATTATGGGGCAGCTGTAGCTTCTGCTAAAACAAGACTATCGAGTCATAATGTAAGAAGCTCCAATGATTTTGGAACACATACAAAACCTCAGAGTGCCAGCCTACTCTTACTAATAAGGTACTCAGATGAAACTCTTCCTGAAAGTCAGGTCTCTTCATTCCTTTTTTTTTTTTTCTTTTCTTTTCTTTTTTTTTTTAAACAAGGTAATCCCTTTGAAGCAATTAGCTGTTGATGGAGAAGCATACTGGATTAACTGTGCTAACTGGATTAAGGGTGACTCAGCGTGCCATGTTGCTATGTTTTGACGAATGGAAGGGCAGAATGAAGGTTGTGAAACCCAAAACAGAGATGACTAATCCAGTCCTGGTTTAGCAGCAATGAGGGGATGGTTTGTCTTGTGCAACATAACTGTTGTCTGGAATATGGCAAAATGTGAAAATTGTAACTGTGTTTAAGGCAAAAGTAATTCATCAGTTTGCCGAGCAATGTAAGAACAGACAAAAACTAGAATTCCAAAGTATTGCTTTTCCTTCCTATTAACACAAGCAATATTTGGAGTTGGGTGGAGATCAAGGCTGAGGCTAGGTTCCATCATTACTTAGATTTGCTTTGCCCAGTACTAATGTTCTGTTTAAATTTATATGCTCCTTTTTGGAAAAGGTTATCACCAGTAGCAACAGGCAAAATATTTAGTACTGAATAGTCTGCATATTTGTCCTCTAGAATCCAAAACTTTGGATATGGAAAATAATTTGGGGAAGAGAGGGATCAGCTCCTGTATCCACTATGGTTCCAGATATATCCTGATTTTAGTCAGGCAAAAGAGAACTGTCATGAAACAGAAATTCAATGGCTCCTCTATTTCCTTCTCCCACCTCCAATAGACACTCACTCCAGATGTCAGAAAAGTTACTCTGTTTTATGATTTAGGATCCTATCCCATGGCAGAAGTATCACTCTGCCCGTGAATGGTACTATTTGACTTTTATTCTGAAGCAAGAATTGCTGCCCCTTCTGCGTGCTATTCCCTTTGACTACAGACATTTTCATCAACTCAACTCTTGGGGTGAAATCTCTGTCCCACAGAAATCAAACTCAAAACAGCTAACTTCAAAGTGCTCATGATTTCTGCTATCTTCGTGTTCCACACAGTCATTATGTTTTAGGTTTCAAGTATTTCCTTTGATTTGTTTGAAGTCTCTTCATTTTACTGCATTCTTCTTTTCCTGTCCCTGACATGAGAAGGCTGTAAAGAAACCCAGCTGATTTTCCTTATAGTACCTATTGTCTCATAAACATTTATCAATGCATATCCTTTCTGCAAAGGATAGTCCACATAATTCCAACCTTTTAATACAAAATTCCAGCCTCTGATCACTGTTCATTGCCCTTTTCCTGGTACAATACCTTTGAGCTAAGTAATGAAGATTGACCACAGTATCCAATATCAAAGCATACCATTTAGTGCAACATGGCAGGCGCAGCAGAGGTTCGCTCTCTCTCCTTTTCCTTATAGTTTCTAAAAACCTGCTTTTCTGTTCACCACTGGGTACTGAACAATTACTGTACAGAGAAGATGGAAAAAACTGCAAAAGGTTAGAGTGAAACAACATGAAAAAACAGCCCCTCCTTGTGATATTTATGTTTCTGCTGCTGGCCCTGGCAGAAGTCCAGATTCTGAATGAACAAAACTCCCAGTGGCTTAGGGACTACAGTGTTCAGCCCACAGTCAGGAAATGCAATAGCATGTGACAATGGGAAGAAATAAAAAAAGCTTTCCAATGCTTTTGAGCTTCAGCTCAATCAGTTTGGATCAAAACTCAGGGGCTGTTGAGATTTTGTGTGAATGAGCTCTCTATTGCTAAACAAAAACATGTGTGTATTACAGTATAAGGCAGTTAAGTGGTAAACAGTATGCGGCTTTGCTTCCTCATTGATATTTCCTTTTCACAGTACTAGCACTATAAAATCCCATTTTATATATAAGGCCTCTGTCCTCTCTATTCAGTGAGGAACTCCCAAAACACAAAGTCAGCTCCCTATTTCTCTTCCTTTCCAGGAGAGCTGCTTGACAACTGTTGTTCACTACTCAGTGTCAAGCCTTGATTCTTCTACAAGATTAGAATTTAAAGGAGTTGGGTAATGTTCCATCTTTATTGTCATCCAGTGATCCAGGTTAAAACAGTGTCCTTTACAACACATTTCCTTCGGGGAACCAATATCCTGAAAACTTAATTTTTGGGAAAATAATGTCAAATTCTCTTATTTTTATAAACATTTAAAATATGAATTAGCCACAATTGCACTATCAGGGACAGAGTGTTTCAGGGCTCCTGTAGACACTGTATAGAGCAGAGATTTCATCTTCATTTTTTCCCCCAGTATGGGGCAGATGCTTGTCTTCACAGTTTGTAATTTCTTTCTCTCTCTTTTGCAAGTTTAGTGATAGACCAATAAAACCAGGATCTTCAAGCCACAGAACACAGGGGACAGCAGGTGTCTAAGCACTCTCTTGTTGATCATTTCCATGACCAGACAAGGCCAGGTGTAGAATTCAGGTTTCTGTTTACATTTTTCTGAAACGTATAGGATTCATAGTTTGTGAAAACATTCCAAAAAGGCCTCACTATTTCAATAACCTAACGTTAACTGTTTCAGAGATAATTCTTTCTTTCACAGAACTTTTTTTTTTTTTTTTTTTTAATTTACAAGGTCCCTATGTATCTTATCAAGCAAATTCATTGAGAGAAAGTAGGTTTCTGCAGCAAGTTTTTTATTTGTCAGTGTGAGTAGAACTGAGAATTGACAGATGGGGACTGACACATTGACCTCTGTGATCAATGAAAAACAGCTAAGCGGGCCTAGGACTGTGGCAGAAAGGTGGCTGACTGCTCCCACAACAGATGGTGGATGCAACTCAAGCAGTGCTTTGTGGGGGGAGTTGCCACAATAACAGAACAGGCTGTCAACCATTTACTTCACAGCAAACGAAAGGTGTAATTGAGGCAATTGGGAATCTATGGCATAGTTCTCATTTCCCAGATACCTTATGGTAAAAGCAACAATTTTCTGCATCTTTGGTTAGGTTAGATGACAAAATTACAGTCTAGCCCATAAAGGGGAGAGTATTTAAGAACTGGTAGGTTAAAGGGGCCATGCCACTTCATGGTGAAGGCTACAAGGGCTTGGCATTCAAAAGTGGCTCCTACTATGTTTTGCTCCTGAAGGAGAAGTGGTCTATGAAATTCTTGCTAGCTTAATGTTTAAAATATCTGCTAAAAGTTACGAGAAACATGCTTGCCATCACAGCCTCCAGCAGGAAATCCTGCACTTGATTAGCACAGATTCTGGCTGCCCCCCCTGCCCCGCCTCTCCCAAAGTAAGTTTAACATGCCTGAACCCCATCAATCCTAGGACCAGAGAGCAATGGGTAAAAACAAATGACACAAACTCCTTAAATGGTCTTGCCTTCTCTAGGTAGCTGGGAGCCTGCTGGAAACCGTTTCCCCAATACTGCATCCCATTGCTTTTGTTTATCTATCCTTGCTGACATTTTCTTCAATTAGGAAACAATAGCTCCGTTCCAATGTACTGAGCAGAATTACTGAAACCAAGTCACGTGACACCACGAGAGTGTGTTTTCAATTATTCACTCTGTATTTTTTGCCAGGCCTATGAAGAGGAACAGCCTTCTGCAGGAGTCAGGTTTGTCTGCCTTGCTGTTGTAAGTTCCTCCTTTTCAAATTTTATTTTACAATTAAGATTTTTAAATTTTTAATTTTTTTTTAACAGTAAATTAAACTCTCCAAGAGTTTCTTACTCTATTAGAAAACTTCCAAATCTCTAGCTCTTCCTACTGCCTGGAAATCCTAGGCATCTGCAATAGTTCAGTGCTAATAGTACCGCTCAGTAATGAATCTGACAAAGATCACAAGATCCAGAATAATACGGGAGGCAAGATATCATGCTGTTAGCACTTGGTAATGTAAAACGCATCTTCTCCTTGCTAGTAAAGAAAAGTCCTATCTTTCCTACTCTCTGGTTAACAGCAGAGCATTCACATTCAGTCTGGGAGCTACACCAAATGATTTGCATCTTGTAAATGCTTGGTTTAATATCCAACCAAAAATTTGAACCAAATGGGCACAGCTCAAATCATGTATTTTGTTTGCAGAAAACAGAGTTAGGGCTTTTTAGACTTAAAGCTGGAAAAATAAAGCTTGGGAAAAAAAAAAAAAAAGAGAAGAAACATTTGGTTTGCATTATAAACCACAGACAACTTCTATCAGGCGTGCTGAAGGTATAAGAATGGCAAGAGAAAATGACAAGCAGTGAGTGCACTGGAGGAAAAGATGAATGGTTTGGAGAACTGACGCTGAAGTAATTGTCCATGCCACCAATACCTTGAATTAAATTTGGTAGAAGATGGCAATGAATCATAAAGCTTCTCTGGCACTTGTGATATTGTTTTCTGTGTAAAATAACATTTCTGGATATTTTTATTGGAAAATTTATAGACTATGTTTTTGGTACCTCCTATATTTCTGTCACTTATGCAACCCTGAATCAGCAGCTCGGGAAAGGACGTTGCCTTAGTTAAGACTTGGTCTGTGATCTAATGCTTAGAGCCAGAGCAAGTATTTAACTGGAAGTCTTCAGGTCTGCTGGGTTTATTTTCACCTCAGCCATGGGCTTGCTTTGAGATATTAGGTAAGTCATTCAGGGTTATACTGGGTCTTTGAGCTGATGGAGCTTTGATGGGTGTGGGGCAGGAGGAAATACTTGATGCAGCAGGGCAAAACAGATGTTCTCTCTGCATGAGGTAAAAATTCTCAGGGGCATTACAGGGGGGGTGGGATGGCAGAATGCACTTAGAGCAATGTTTCCTTCACTGTTTCAACAGGTGCTTCTATGTGTTCCCTGCATCCCAGATGCTTAGCATAGTCAGAGAGGCACCTCTTGCAGCATTTAGTACTGAGGATGGTGCTTCCTTCTTAAGGTCAGCAGCTTCAGGCAGAGTGGGAAAGGGCTCCTGAATCTCTCCATCCTTCATTCTAGCGTGCCAGTCTCCAGAGAGCTTTATTTTGACTATTAAGCTATCAAGTCCTCTGCTTACCCATGTGCTTAATAGCTCTTTTAAAATTCTTTCTCTTTGGGGAAGTAAGAGTGCTGTTAATGTTTGTACAACATTGAAATGCTTGAATGAAAAGTGCTATTTCTTCTAATTTTCCCCCATAGGCAAGACTGTTTAGTTCTGAATGTGCAACTTGAGCTCATTTCTGACATTCTTATTGCTAGTGTCTAACAGCAATTGCCAGAATCACAGAAGGAGTACTAGTCCCTGGTGCAGACTTTCAAGTGACGTGCATTCCGCACACCTTCAGCAAGTAGCTCTGCTGCTTCCTACCCAGGTGTTGAGGGGAGGTACTTGCAGAAGTTCCCCTCATCCTAGTCATCCTATTCCTTTTTTTCTGGTCTCATGGGACAGATTGCCTTTTTACCTACCTTCAGGTATACAGGAAAAGCAACCTCAAGCTTTACAAGATCAATTTCCTTATGCACTAGGGACGCTAACAGGGATTTTCCAACTCAAAATTTGCAATTAGTTACATACATACTATGGTAGACTAAAACATTAGGCTTGACAAAACACTAAAAAGTGTCTTTTTAAAAAGAAACAAGCAAACAAACAAAATCTCCAAACCCTGAATGACTTTACATATTAGTAGGGATAAATATCAGTCAGTTTTTAACTGAAGTAATCAACAAAAAATCATACAAAAAGTGATGCTGAATTACACCACCACCAACTACTTATTTCAGTTCTCAAAATAGTTGTTCTAGTATAATTCATAGCTATTTTTATCTCTGTACTTCAAAATAAATTATCTCATAGAGGGTCTGAAATGTAGGTTCTTTCAGTAGTGCAGGAGGGGAGATTAATCCTAGGGAAATAAGACCCCATATCAGTCTCAAAGTCCACGTGTTAAAGCCGAGCTCCATTTATGTCATACCTTTCCCAGTCCCCTCTGGCCTCTGCGTGCTTACACATAGGCTCAGATGTCCTCTTATTCAGCATGTGCTCTGCATCACGGGAGGGGAGCGTGGCTGTGCTGTTGGGCAGTCCTCCGCCCACACTGTGGCTGCATGCAGCCATGGTTGCAAATCTTGTTATTTGTAAGAAGAGAGGCTACTCTGAAAAAAGAAAAAAGTAGAACATTCTGTGTACTGAAGGCACTGGAGAATATATGCTAGTTCAGCGTGACCCTGAAGGCTTCCCTCATGCTAGTGCTGGGGAGGCTGGGAGCCCAGTGACTCTGGTTCCAATGCTCCTACCCAGTGAGGTCAGACTCTCCCACAGGAGCAGAGAGGATCCCAAAGACACACAGGAGAGGGGCAGAAAACACACCAGCTTTGTGGAACTTGACATGTTCTCTGGATACTTTCAAACTTAAACTTTGCCCTGGAATACTGTCCTGCTAGAAAATCCACTAAGTTCCAATACTCAGGGCATCAGTTTCTCGAATGTTAGGAATTCTGTTTCAGAAAAGAGACATCAGACAGAAAAGCAATATTGGGACTGATATGACGGAAAATAAGTTATGATGGAAGGCTGTTAGGAGCATTAGCTATCAAAAATGCCAGAAAGGACTTCACAAATAAACATCCCTCTCCCTGGCAGGTAAAGGGACCTCTTTGCTGCTCCTGAAAAAGCTATGTACAAATACTTTTCTTTTACAAATCCAAATAAACTCAGATTCACGCTGAATTGTTTATTTCTCCAGCAATGCCATATACCTCCTTTAGACAGGTACTCATTGTCATAGTGTTTATCATCTCTTTTTGGTTTTTCTTGGTTACTTGTATGAAAGCAAAAAAGAAAAAAAGAAAATCCTGCAGATTTATTATAAGACTGACTTGGATTCATTATATGAATCTGGCTTGGTCAGAACGTACAGGTCTGTGTTTATTGTTGTGGCTGTAAGGAGCCTTTAGAAAATCTGCCACCTTCCATTTCTATATCACCAGTAGCATTTCAGGTACAAAGTGCATACACACCTACCAAATTCTGCATAGGAGCTGGAGGGGGGGACAGGACCAACAACCAAAAACTGCAAAACAAACGCAACAATCCAGTTTAGAGCACAATGTACAAACATTTTCTCTCAATAGTATACTTGAGAAGTGCTTTTCAAACTATATTGATTTTCAGTTTTGTGTATAACACAGCATCTTTGATTTATGCAAATCCTTTCATTTCAATAGGTATTTTCTCTAGAATGGCAGCATACGGTATCAGGTACTGTGAAGAGAACAGAAAAGTTTATGTAATAAATATGATAACAAAAATTGAGAAAGTAAATATAATTAATTTAAACTTCCTCTTGTTGAATTTTCAGCACTGACACGTACCTACAAAAATATTTCCAGAAAACTTTTTCTGAGAGAAAAAGGAAACAGTTTAACAAAGCTCCCCTTTGTTATCTTAACGTGCTCATTACTTTACTCATTTTACAAAAGCTCCAACTTTTGCCACATTTTGATTGTACAGCATTTCTTCCATTTTCTCTTAATTTTGTGTGCTGAATCAAACAAACCATTTCTGTAATGGGACACTTTTTGATTGATGTATTGGAGCTGTATTCCGTTACAGAGTTGAATCCCTAATCAGATATTCACATCTTAAGTGCTTCACTGGATCTCTCTGTTACTGTTAAATGCACAGTCTTAAGTGAGTTCTGGTCTGCAAAGGTAGTTTTTATAGCAGCCTGACATTCCTTACTCTCTATGGCTAAAATCTACTTTTGCTAAACCACTTACAACAGATGTGCCAGGTGGAGAACTTAACCTCGACAATTTGATTAGTCTTCTTTGAATTATAGTGGTTTCGTGAATCAAACTTCAGAAGGATCGTCCTCTTCCCAAATAATGTTAGGAGGATAGAATAATGCTTTTAAAGTATCTTCCTTTTCAATTTGTGTTTTCAACATGCAAATTCAGCAGAAGCCCAAAGGAAGCAGCACAATGGAAGCATCAAAAACATTTATTAAAAGCACTCCATTGTGCTTGGGGACCATGGGAAGAGAATGAAAAGGTGAAGGAGAATTTAGCAGAGCACTGCACAGAAACAGAATTAGCAAGTCATGAGATATCACGTGGCTGTTAGCAGACTGAAAGGCTCTGTTGATTCGATTTATTCATTAGGGCTTTTCAGTAGTGTAGGTTATTAAGTGGGAGAAAGTGGGGTATATTATAACTTACTTTATATATTTCCTTTCCTGGAGGATATTGAGCAGCAGAGAAGAGGAGAAAGTTATTGAAAGTATCATGCCACATCAATGGGAGAATGATAGGAAAAAGAGCAGCACCACCAGCTCTCTGAAGATGGATCGAAAAAGCAACGCTGGGAACAGGAAGTCAAGAAAGTTTCGTTCCATTTCAAGATCACTTATACTCTGCAATGCCAAAAACAGTGATGATGGGTCAAGTCCTGATGAGAAATGCCCTGACCCCTTTGAGATCTCTGCTAGTTGGAGTCAAGAGGATTTTGACTGCTGTCCTAGAACACAATTGCCATGCACACCAGAGACAGAAGACAGCCCACCTGATCCTCCATGTGTGATCACCAGCATGGTCCAGTCCAAAGCTGCAGCAAATGAGAACTGCAACAACATGAGAAGAAAGTTACTCACTAAGGTAGGCAACTCAGTGCAGTATATTGTAATGTTTCCCATTATGGTAGTTCCTAAATGGATTAATACATATTTCTCAGGAACACGGGATTCTACTTGACTTTTTCAGAGCCTATGAGCCTGCAGTGTTCCTGCTCTGTATAAACAGCATGAAAATGTAATAGCTTCCCTGCCGTGCTGTTGCACTCTGCTGAAATCAAGTGACTGCTAGGCCACTCTCAGCTTACTCAGACTAGCACAGCTGGTGCTTTCTACCTGCGATATAGTATTCAGCTCAAAATATAAAACTGTCACTATAGTAAAGCATGATACCATGAGATCTCACAAGCTATGCAAGTATGAATTGTATTAATACTATGAAAGAAACTGGAGATTCGGCAGGCAGATATTCTTTCTCTCTGATTCAGGAATGAGGTAGTGATGGCTCTAAAACCATCAGAGATATTCCTAGATGTGTAAAAAGTCTTAACAGCCTCATATTACAACATTATTCTCTAATCAAGAAGTAACTGGGTTAACCCTAACGATCTGAACAATTTTTCAGTCTCAACAATGTTTTATATACCTTTAGAAAGTTCCTTTTCAGTGGCATATCCTAATTTTAACTCTTTCTCTCTACCTGTTGGTGTGATGTGTAAAAGGGACCTCACTGCAAGTATGACATGTCTTTTAATACAGTTTGTGTCCGCCTGGTGCCTCCCTTATTATATGCCTTTTACTCGTGCAAATAGTGGCTTATGTGAGAGAACTGGCTCTTTCACCTAAAATATTTCTTTCTTATATTTTATTTTACATACTTTCAATAGAAATTGGCTAAAAACTAGACCTCTACATCTTAACACACAGTGGCACAGTGGTACTGAAAAGCAGAGTCTCCTCTCACTCCTTGAGTTTCTTGCTAATGATCGCAGCATGCAGCCCAATATTGCAAAGACTGCAGCAGGACGGAGTTCTGTATGTGAGGTGTTTCAGTCCCTGGCAAAGTCCCAGCATGAGGACAAAACCACGCCAACTTTCTATTACATTCTGACAGAAAACATAAATAGGTGACTGACCCAAGTCCCAAAATACACTCAGTCACCTGCAAAACCATACTACCACCTCCCTTTTGGAAACAGTCCATATGCACTCTGCTGATTTCCTTCTGTGAGTGAAGAAGGAGCTGGCCTCTGTGGACTCCCCCTACTTCTCTTTTAAGAAAGCTGAAGCACTCAGGTGTGTGTCAGCTGCCACAGTCTACTTGAATGCATACCTCCAAAATATGGAGGGCTCCAATAGCTGTTGTGATCCATACCCATATGAAACTACTCAGTATCTTATTGCAGGCTGTAAGTTTAGATCATTTGCTTTTATAGCTGGCAAGCAGCTCAAATAGGGATCTGGGGAACAGAGTAAGTCTCATAACTAATGCCATTTCACAGATAAAATATAACTGCTAAGGTTATAAATCCACTCTTAGGCTGGAGTGTTAGTGTTATTGAACAGGATGGGTCAGGAGCCTGGATGGATGATGAAGTAAATTAGTCAGCAACCCAGTCCCTTACACAGCATTTGGGTTGCTTCGTGTTGTTGTAGACAATGGGTACATTAAATTCCCTCTCCAGAGCTCTCACAGCAACATAAACGTCTCCAGATGCTAGTTGCTAACCTTCCATACCTTTCAGAGTCGTGAATCAGTGCGTGATTCTAAAAAGTCTTATCTCAGCATGCAAAAAAGGATGAAGTTCAGTAACAGCTACACTGACCTTATCCTGTACTACTGTTGCTGAGGCTGTGTCCTATATTATGAAAGCAGTGATCTCTATCTTGCACATGGCACAAGTCTGTCAGAACAATCTTCCTGTATTATGTGTCTTAGAGAGCTTAAGCTTAAAACCTCTCTCTTTAAGAAAGGAGACAAGCATTTTTCAAGTCCCAGTGTTAACACTCACTCTCTCCATCTCCATGTGACACTTCAGAAATTCATGATGTGTGACTCAGAGCTAAAGGATCCTTGTCTTTGTTCAAGAAAATTGATTCCATTCTTTCTGCGGTGTTGCTGAGGATATTCCACTATTCTTCTGCTTTCCAGCGCCTGCAGCCCTAAGCATGACTCTGAAGGTGCTAATAACTCCCACAGAACCAAACAACTTAATTTTTGCTGTCACATTGGGAGGAGAGAAGAATGTTTAAAAGTGCTTCATGATTTAATGCTCCCTGTGCATTTCTTTTCTAGATCTAAGGGGGAACCTGGAACATCAGTATTCCAAATACAAGCTTCTCTCTTCTGTTCAAAAACTTAAGTATCTCTCTAAGCCATATTCTGCCGATGGCATGGGGTTCACCATAAGCAATAAACCACATGCAAATCAACCACTAGTTCAGGACTTCTGGATGTCTATGAGAGGCATGTTTTCCTGATTCCAAAATCTTTAGGATCCCAAAGAATAGTCCTATGTCCCATTACTAACAGTCTGAGAAAATAGGTGATACTTACAATAATGAAATGAGAGGTAAGAGAAGGATTTTTGAAGAGGGGGCATCTGTGCATCATTACATCAACTCCTTTCATTTCAGTCTTCAATAGAAAATGTTGCTGTAGCCATTGAGGGAAGCACTGCAGCATGAGCACAACCTGCATTAGGCTACAGAGCATCCCACATAAACACTTTGTTCTTATTGCACTACTCGTAGAAAAGACTTTGAGCTGGAACTCAGACCTTGCTGTACTCCAGAGAATTTCAGAAGGCTGAAATTCTGATGATACTAGGTTTTGTTCATTTGGGTTTTTTTGAACAAAATATGCACCAGTTTTGGTGCCAATAGTACTGTGGTGTTTGGGGTGGGACTGCAAGTTGATGTCACTGCTTCCCTGTCATCTGACTCACAGCACAGTGCGAGCATCTGTTTCCGAAGAGACCACAACCTTATATCTTTGGTAAACTTGGCTCTTGTGAGGAGTAATGCAAAGGCTGGCCCCAGGTGCAAAAACTGACTTGTACCTGTGCAGGCATTTTTGCTTTTAACCAAAGCATCCATAGTTTGCATTTACAGCGCGGGTGCACCAAAAAGGCAGAGGATAGATATTATTTAGCTGTGATGATCCCTACCACTTTTTCTGCGATGATATGTGGGCAGCACCAGTTGACAGGGGTCTCAGTTCATAACTGCATCTTTTAGGCAACTTTTTTCCAACAGTACACGGCACGGTGGCACACTTGACATGTAGAGCTGAAGGGATTGACCTTTCATCTATATAGAAGTTATAACACGTCGAAAGAAATAATGTTGAGACAAGGCTTTAAATAGGAGCCCCTCAAAAACTATTCAGTGGTTCATTATATTCAGGGCAAAAATCTCAGTCAATGCTACGTCCATGTGAACTATGCAGTTATCTCAGACGTTTGGATGACCAGATGGTTATTCACATCCTCCCAAGACATGGACACTATGTGTCCCATAGGGCCCCATTTAACAGTCCTAAGCGGCTATGACCTTCTTTGACCTGAGCCTATGCTACTGCCACAGATATCTCACTTTCCTGCTGGAGTCCTATTTCCAGTCATTTTTTGTCACAGAAAAGCTGCTGCCATGACATACAGAGAATGGAAGAAAACAGGAGATAATCTGGGAAATGGAGAGGGAAGAGAGAGCGTGGAATTACAAAGACGGGAAAAGAGGAAAGAGTTGACCGTGGAATACTTTAAAGCAAGTGACATGAGGGGAGAAGAATACAACAGTCATGAGCTGTGAAGGAATCACATCTGCAGCAAAGTGCATCGCCTCACTACTCCCCATTGCCTATCAAATGCTACATTCTTCCTTCTTTTCTTCTCTGTGTCCTTAGCACGTTTTGGGCATTGTAACAGCAGCTTCATTCATCTACATGTTGCTCAGCAGAAAGGCAGGTAGAGCTGTTCCAGCTAAGGACTATAATTTCACAAACTTCCCAGCCATCTCTTTCCTCCTGCTTGGCTGATTGTACAAAAAAGCTGTAGAAGCAAATAACACATCACTGTGCACACCCAGTCAAAGAAAAGCTGTATCAAAATCTTACAGCACATAACAATTTATGCTTTGTGATATAGCACCTGGGAAAGAATGTCTCAGACTGATTCATTAATCTCTACATCCTCTTCGACATATCTCCTTTCATTACTGTCTTGGTTTGAAAAAGACAGGTGT